TAGTAGTAGTAGTAGTAAAGTTGGAAGGGACCTTGAAGGTCATCTAGTCCAACCCCCTGCTCAGGCAGGAAACCCTATACCATTTCGGACAAATGGCTGTCCAGTCTCTTCTTAAAAACTTCCAGTGTTGGAGCATTCACCGCTTCTGGAGGCAGATTTCTCCAACAGTCTCTAAATTAGGGGCCAATAGGTGTAGAGGTACATATGGTAGATAAAGGAATGATAAATAATAAACAACAAATTCAGTTAGGGCTAGGGTTACGTCCCCATGAATTCAGAGAGCAAAATGGACCTCGCCAATGGATTCAGAGCGAATGGGTTGCTTAGGAGGGCCCTGACTTTTTGAGCCTGCCTTATTTACTTTTCCTGGTAAAATACATTGTTGTTGTTGTTGTTGTTAGTTGGGAAGTCGTGTCCGACCCATCGCGACCCCATGGACAACGTTCCTGCAGGCCTTCCTGTCCTCTACCATCTTCTGGAGTCCATTTAAGCTCACGCCTCCTGCTTCAGTGACTCCATCCAGCCACCTCATTCTCTGTCGTCCCCTTCTTCTATTGCCCTCAATCTTTCCCAGCATTAGGCTCTTCTCCAGGGAGTCCTTCCTTCTCATTAGGTGGCCAAAGTACTTGAGTTTCAACTTCAGGATCTGGCCTTCTAAAGAGCAGTCAGGCTTACATGTATCATAGTAATTATCCTTGCATTTGCTGGGGAAGAATGCAATGATGTTGTTATCTGCCACTAGGTGGTGACAACCACTTAAATAAATGTGGTCTATGAAACAAGGAACATCAGAGGCCTTGATTCTCTGAGCTGAGCTCATTAGCACATCATTAAGATATTTCTTCATGTTGATGTTATGACAGTTATGGCTTGCACGATCCAAAATGTGAGAATTGCTTTACTTTAAATCTGTAGCATCTTTGTTCAATTTTGTTTTGCAGTTCGAGAAACTGATATGGCCTGACACAATATATTATGTATACATATTTAGATTAAGTATTATTTACCCATCATTTCTCTAGCAAAAAAACCTAAAGTTTTGGCTAGATGACATTCATTTGAACTGGATTTTTTTTCTCTCTCTCCTGGGTCAAATTAAGATTTTTAGCACTGCAGATATTTCAGCTTTAAAAAAAGTCATTTTCAGGGTCAATCTCTGCTGAAGGGAAAAATTAAAGGTTTTAACCCCATTCCACATATTTTTCAGTTTGGGAGTGGGGAGGAAGTTGTTTACAATACACCATCTTGGGAATCCTGACTGCTAGAATTAACGTTATCTTTTATTCAAAAGACAGCAGGCTGAAGGCAAGAAATACTAACATCACTCTGAATAGGCTTTGTAACAATATCACAAAGCACCATTATGATAAAGCTTAACTGAGCAAGTGCAATATTCCCACTGGGCACAGATATTTAAAAAACACAACAGCAAATTTTTGACCCAGCAACAATTCCCAATAGCAGGCCACTGTTACTGTCCATCACCAAACCAAACCTGATTTCCTATAATGCAAAAAGCATACAACACTTACATTCAATGAGGAACAGGAAGCAGATAACACCCATCAAGGCTATAATGATTCCAGGTACAATGAAGGACAGTCCCCACGCCGTTGAAACCCAGATGCCAGCAATCAAGGACCCCAAGATATTTCCGACAGACGTGTGTGAATTCCAGATGCCCATGATTAAACCTCGCCTGACAAGAAACAAAAGACGTGTTGTAAATGTCTGTCTTTTGGGGCTCAGTTCTCAGAGGCACATTGGGAACCCACACATTATGGTTCAACATTTTGTGGGAATCAGTTTCATGAGATCTCTGTGGTAGAGTTTGACCAATGCTTCAACTTACAGATAAACTTTCCAGAACTGTTAGCTGACAGCTCCCACAATCTCTTACCACTGACCATGCTGGTTGGGGCTGATGAGAACAGATGCCGCTAAACATCTGGATGGCATCGATCTGTTCATTTCCCCCCCCCCTAACTGCTACGTCACAAGTACACATTCTGCCCTGGGGATTATGTCATTTCTGAAGGACTTTGGCAAACATATTCACTTTGCATTAAATTACGTTAATAGAAAAGCAAAAGTGAATTAAATTACGTGTCATTTAATTGGTGTTCTGGGCCCAGCTCCATTTTTATCTTGTATCCTATATCCTTTGTATAACACCGAAAGGCCAAGTGCAGCTTCTGGGGGCTGAAAAACTGGGGCAGCCCTGCACCTTTTTTGAAAGCCACGCGGTACAGTGAATAACATGCAAGCTCAGCTTGGATTAGAGCAATCCGGGTTCAAATCACTGCCCAGCAATGATGCTTATCAGCTGGCTTCCAATGAACTGTGGAGATTAGTCACCTGAACCAGTTCACAGTCACTGCAGAGATCAAATTGGGCAGCTCTCCTTTAGGGCAGGAGTCACAGGGCCAGCGTGCAGCGCGTAAGAAGATACCAGGCAATTAATCAAACCACGGTCCCATTTAAATGCGCAGGGTTGCATTTCCTGTCAGTGTGGGGAGAAATCAAAGACTTCCTCTAGGGATGACGATGAAGCAACCGAGATTCGAAAGCAAACAACAATCTGCAAGGCGTGAAGAAACCAGACTCACTTCCCCTTTCCAAACCAGTTGCCGACACACGTCACCACTGAAGGCCATCCAGTTGTCTGAGCCAAGCCGTTCAGGATCTAACAGAGGGCACAAGAGAGAGAATCAGCTAACTGCTGAAGGACACGCTGTTCACATGTATGCATTCACTCTCTCTCACGCACACACACACACACACACACACACACACACACAGACGTTAACAATACATGTAGTCCTCCTGACTTAGTTGTATTGAAATATATTAACTTGAATATAATATGTTACTAGAGGGAAAAGAGAGGGGTTTTTTAATGGTTTAATCTGAATTGTATGAGTATGACTTTGTTTGTGGACAATTGGTTGCCCTGCCACCACGTTGATTCTTAAGCACTTGTTTGTAAAATGAAAAAAACCAATAAAACTTGTTTAAAAACAACAACAATGCATGTGGTCCTCAATGTATGACCACGTTTGATCCCAACGTTTCTGTTGCTAAGTGAGGCAGTTGTTAAATAACTTTGGCCTCATTTTACAACCTCTCTTGCCACAGTTGTTAAGTGAAACTCTGCCATTATTAAGTTAGTAACAAGGTTATTAAGTATTCTGGCTTCCCCACTGACTTTGCTCGTCAGACGTTTACAAAAGGGGATCACGTGACCCGGGACGCTGCGACCGTCATAAATATGAGTCAGTTGCCAAGCATCTGAATTTTGATCATGTGATCACCAGGATGCTGCAGCGTTCATGTGAAAAATGGTCGTTACGTCACTTTTTCCAGCGCTGTTGTAACTTTGAACGGTCACTAAATGAACTGTTGTAAGTCAAGGACTACCGGTAGAGCTGATTTAGAGAGCGATTTTTTTTTTAATCTTTTGCAAGGAAAAAAAACCTAAATGTCTTGGGACGTCCTAAAGATTAACACGCGATGACTACATACAACTTTCAAGAAGCAAGTAAGAAGTTATGCAGTGTGCACCAGAAATGCTGTTGGAGGCGACAAAAAAGGAACTTGGTGAAAGCAAAGTTGAGGCCAATTTCCCCCCCTCCACACACACACAGACAAAAATGATCCTAAATGGGAGACAGACATTCCCACACTGACCTAACTAGTTAAATAACCAGACAGAAAATGTGTGGTTGGAAAAATGTAGTCATGTGAAATCACTAAGAGAGTTTTTGGCAATGGGATGGAAAAACTTGGCACTTTCTTTCATAACAAGCCACAAAAATAGCAGGGGGTGGGTCACTCCGCCACAGCCCACTCGAGCTCACGGAGTGATATTCTGGGGGGGGGAAAAGGGAAGGAAGTATGTCTAGTTTAATGAAGACAAGGATGAGGGGGGACATGATAGCAGTGTTCCAGTATCTCAGGGGCTGCCACAAAGAAGAGGGAGTCAAGCTATTCTCCAAAGCGCCTGAAGGCAGGACAAGAAGCAACGGATGGAAACTCATCAAGGAGAGAAGCAACTTAGAACTAAGGAGAAACTTCCTGACAGTGAGAACAATTAACCAGTGGAACAACCTGCCTCCAGAAGCTGTGAACGCTCCAACACTGGAAGTTTTTAAGAAGAGACTGGACAGACATTTGTCTGAAATGGTATAGATCAGTGATGGCGAACCTTTTAGAGATCGAGTGCCCAAACTGCAACCCAAAACCCACTTATGCATCGTCGGGTGCCGGGTGGGCATGGCCCATTGGGTGGGCGTGGTTGCAGTGGTAATGGCAGACTGGGTGGGACTAAAAAGTTCAATCAATCAATTCCAACTTGGCAAGATCTTTTTTTTCTCGCGAGAAGTTGAAATTGACTGATTGAATGTTTTTTTTTTTTTTGCACACGGCGGTGGAGGCCTAAAGGGAAGAAGTTTTATAAAACCCAGCTGAAGGCCTAGGACTGGGGCAACGACGCGTGTGCCCACAGAGAGGGCTCTGAGTGCCGCCTCTGACACCCGTGCCATAGGTTCGCCACCACTGGTGTAGGGTTTCCTGCCTGAGCAGGGGTTGGACTAGATGACCTCCAAGGTCCCTTCCAACATCATCATCATCATCATCATCATCATCATCATCATCATCATCATCATTATTATTATTATTATTATTATTATTATTATTATTATTATTGCTGTAGATGCCACTTTGATCTCCTGAAGAAAAGGTAGGCGATCTAGAAAACAGGTAGGAGGTGGGCAGATCTCCAAAGCACCAGTTGGATCTTGTCCTCTTGCTCTTTTGCCCCAGATATTAGATCAGGATGTTATTTAGCTGGTTTGCTTATTAGCCAATTCTTCCCCACCCCAAGAACTTAAATCTGTGCTGGAAAGGGAGCTTACTCAAGGCCACTGCACTGGCCAGCACTGGGTTGCCCAGGGGTTTCTAGGTGGTTATCAGCCTGATGAAGCAACCGTGGCAGATCTGGGTATAACTCTGAGCGCCCACATAGTCCCTGCTTTGTGGTGGCTGCAGCATTTTTTTTCTCCTCTTCCTTCTCCAACAGCTGCGGTTGAGTGACTCACAGGGGCTCTTCTCCAGCAAGTGACAAACGTCATTCCCTTCTTTCTCAACAAGCCTTTTTCTTATGCTGGCCCCCCCTCCAAACTTTCAGCTGATGCCTTTGTCAAATCCCCAGTTCCTCCCAGCTTCTTGTTTCCATGCCAGAGGCTATTTATAAATGGACATGGGCTTATGTGTGAGGCTGGCCTTTTTAAGTGCACAGTATGGATGGCCTAGGGCCAGGGGTAGGCAACCTCGGCTCTTTTATGACTCGCGGACTTCAACTCCCAGAATTCCTGAGCCAGCCATGCTGAGGGGAAAGGGAGAGGTTTCCAAGTTGAGCCGTGCTGGCTCAGGAATTCTGGGAGTTGAAGTCCACGAGTCATAAAAGAGCCAAGGTTGCCTACCCCTGGCCTAGGCCCTGGATCATGCAGAAAACCATCCATCCCTTCCTTTCAGAGCTCAGTGAAAAAAGAACTGGCCAGCCCTGGGTCGCCCAGGGATTTCTAGGTGGTTATCAGCCTGATGAAGCAACCTTGGCAGATCTGGGTATAACTCTGAGCGCCCACATAGTCCCTGCTTTGGGGTGGCTGCAGCATTTTTTCTCCTCTTCCTTCTCCAACAGCTGTGGTTGAGTGACTCAGCACCTCGGAGGTGGAAGAACATCCTCACCTAACAGGTCTATGAAGCATGGCTTCTCTGTTGCGGTGCCTGCCTTCTGGAACAACATTCCTTCCCCCCCCAGAGGTTCACTGGATCTTATTCCAAGGAGTTCTTAAAACCTCTAATGGTATGTTAGAATAAACAGGGGGAGGAGGTGAGAGATGCTGCCTAGGGACAGATCAGATAAAACTGGAGGGAACCCACAGCTACATAATGGCAGAGGGCAGAGAAATAAATTCAGGAAAGATCCTTCCTCATTTATCAGGCTGCAAAAAGGGATGGCAGAAGATCTGTTCTTTCAGACTTGCAAGATCCTGTTTCACGTGGGTTGTGTTTCCTGTCTGCTCTACCTGGAAAGGCTGACAAAACTTCCATCTTCTGCCAAGCCTTGAGTTAAGAGTGGGTGGCGGGCAACCTGTAGGTTATACGGGGCTATTTTAGAGTTTGAGGGGGTACCTGGAGGCTGTTTTTTCTTTGGTTTATATTTTTAAATAATAATAAAAAAGACTGGGTATTAAGGGAGCATGCTTCCCAGAGTCACAATGGAATTGGATGGCCTTATACATATAATACGTAACATCAAATAGGCAGTTTTTAAGGAGGACAGCAGATTTTGGTCTGTCTTCCTAAATAGTTTCAGTTGCAGGGTTTGTGTTGGCAGGTGGCAAAATCTGGCCCACATCCACAGAGTGAAACAACGAGGTGAAATGATGGATTGATTCATGGGAATTATGCAAGGACAATAGTCTCAGCTGTAATTCTATGTAAAACTGGTTATGGGACACCCAGAAGTATTTTAATTATGGGCTGCATACAAACCACATGTTTGGCTACAGTTACTATCATAAATTAGACTAGGCAAAGTGGATTATTTCATTCAAGGTTTGTGTGTGTGTGTGTGTGTGTGTGTGTCATCACCATCTTCTACTGCTCAGTCATTATTTCTTCTGTTCTTTTTCCCTCTCTAAATAGAGAACTTTTTTTTTCCAGCTTGAAAAAAAAAAATCCATAAAGGAAGAAACAGAGAAAGAGTTCCAAATTTCCTTTGATCGCAACCTATCGTTCAGTTCCAGGTTTTGTTTTGTTTAAAAAAAACAAAACAAAAACCAAAGCAGGCAGATAAACTTAGAGAAAAGCCACAGGGTCACTGCTCTCACAAACAGGAGGGAACATAGAGGGCATACTCCTGAATCATGATTTTTTAATTATAAATAAACATGGGACTAGAATGGCTAGACGCCATCTGGAAACACCTCATCTGGGGTGAGCGTGTGTCTCATGTACACAAGTGGGTCTTGGATGGAAAAACAGATTCCATCCCTTCCCTAATTCTTTCCAGGGGCTAAATATATCTGCTGTCTGTTTGCCCAGCCTTCAATACACCCACAGACCAGAACACTTCTGTGTTCCAGTTTCCAGCAGGGATAGGGAAAAACCATGAGAACAGAACCAAGCTGCAACCCAAGACATGGAACCAAGAAGGGGAGAGAGGAAGTGTGACAACCCCATGCCTAAGAAAGGACTGGACAGCCATTTGTCTGAAACGGTATAGGGTTTCCTGCCTGAGCAGGGGGTTGGACTAGAAGATCTTCAAGGTCCCTTGCAACTCTATTATTATTATTATATTATTATTATTATTATTATTATTATTATTGTTATTATTATTATGGATCATCTCATAGTCAGCCAGATGTTCAGACTGGATTTGGCATTTTGTCTACCTATCGAGTCCTTACCCAGGACCTGGGATAGGCAGATGTGGATGTTTGATGGTATTATTATTATTATTATTATTATTATTATTATTATTATTAGTAGTAGTAGTAGTAGTAGTAGTAGTAGTAGTAGTAGTAGTAGTAGTCGTATTGGCTCTGGCACCGTCTTGGATTGTCAGAAGATACAAAAGAACCTCAAAAGAATGATAGCCACCGATGGGCATCAATCTCTGATAAGAGGCATGGTAAAAGAAAGAGAAGATCATGTCTTCTTGAATGTTAGACTTGTTTTGGTTCCTGATGGGAAATTGAAACAGAGACTCTTTGTTGCTTGTTCTTTTTTCTCTCTTTCTTAATGGTAGAAGAAAGAAAAGGCATGAATGGGAAACCTTGATGTTTGCTGCACAATTTGAAGAGGGTTGACCAGAGCCTGCCCACCCCATACAAAATATGGAGAGAACATGGTTAGTAAATGGGATCAAAGTCTTTACCTGTACCAATATGAAGTACCATAACTGGTGGATATTCCAGTAGTAGCCCAGTCCAAACAAGGCAGTAAATAAGCCACTGAGCAACATGCCTCCGGAGAGGTAGTAGCGCAGAGGAAGTCGCTCGCCGAAAATCCCACTGTGGGAGAACAGAATAGACAAGTTGTTAAATCACAGTTTGTTACCTCCTATCAGTGTAGACTGATAGAATCCCGGAGCTGGAGGAGGCTTGAAAGTCATCCAACCTTAGCTACACAGAGTTGGGTTGATGCTCACTACAATGCCAGGACTTATTTTAATTAGGTTTATTGAAAAGCCATTAGAGACTTGGTTCTGACATTACTGTAAGCAACATTTACTAGCCAAAAAAGTTGGGTTTACCTATTACACTAAGACACTGCATGATTCATCTCATCTTGGCTGGGTTATGATGTATGGACTGAGATACCTTGACTGCAAGACAGGGATTCAGATTTTGAACTATGGGGGAATACACAGTTTTCACAAAACTAGGGTGGAATGTGAATCCAGTCATCATTAGCCCTTGGCCTTATTTTTCTGAAGTAGGCTCTCCACTCCTTCTAGTTCAGTGTTTCTCAACCTTGACAATTTTAAGGCATGTGGACTTCAACTCCCAGAATTCCACAGCCAGCAATGCTGGCTGTGGAATTCTAGGAGTTGAAGTCCACATGCCTTAAAATTGTCAAGGTTGAGAAACACTGTTCTAGTTTGTCTCAAGCATTTGAGATTTGTTTAAATCCCTTAACAACATGCCCTAACTTCACCCATGCTTTCTTTTTGTGTCAGAGCTAAAAGTCAAACCGTTTTGGCTTTGGGATTAAGGAATTGGCCTTGTACAAGTTAAACTGGAGAGAAGGGAGGGAGGGAGGGAGGAAGGAAGGAAGGAAGGAAGGAAGGAAGGAAGGAAGGAAGGAAGGAAGGAAACCTCGAAGACAAAATGAAGATTAAAAAAACACAACACAATTTGAACTGCAGTTGATGAGAATGGAACTGGGTTTATTGTACACAATGCAGGCCTTCCATCTCTTAAGCTGAACAACTTTCTCTTTAATCAGCCTGCACACAATTGTGACCTATCAACAGCCGTCCAAATACCCTATGAAGCTCTTTAACAACCACTTAGGTGACCAAAGGGTCTGTTTAGTTCTCAGTAAACAGAATCTATCATCTTGACAAGAGTCCTGTTGACATTTCAGGCTTTCCATTAGCGGGTTTCTTATCTGCCTGGCATTGTAACCCCAGTTAAGGGAATTCTCTATCTCTGAACTACTTTCCTGCAGGGTGGAGAAGTGGGTTGATTGCTCCTGAACATGGCCAACAGTTGTCATGTTTTGCCAGGGTAATCAAACATTATAGATATGTCCTAAGAGCACCTCTTAAGATCACAGGATGTTTTGAAACCATCAACTTGAGCTGCCAAGTCAAGGTGCCAAGTTGCTGACACGCTCTGCATGACAAATTGTTGAAGCAATTGATTATGGAAAGGCCCTATCAGTAAAAGTCAACCAAAACCAAACCTTGATGACAAATGACGACAAAAGCAACGGCGAAACTGCCTTACTAAAACAAAGTCCAATACAGATGTTTTTACGAAGGAAAACATCACCCTGAGTGCAGAGAGCCTCCAGACCAACGTTTCTCAACCTTGGCAACTTTTAAGACGGGGGGGGGACTTCAACTCCCAGAATTCCCCAGCCAACAGAGGGGATTCTGGTTTTCCACCCTGATTCTATTTGCAGAAAGAAACCAGGTGTCAAATAAATTCTGCAGTGGGAAACAAACCTGAGACCTATAATGAACGGCGCTGGCGGAAACTTTCTTTTTCTTATTCTTATTTCACTCCTTGCTGGTCTTACTACGCCTTACTGCTTTTCTGGCCATTGCAGAGCGTTGTTTCCCCTGAAATACATACCTGATATACATCCCAATTGCATAAGCCACCAAGAAAGCATTGTCCAGGGCTCCAAATAGCTCCTTGTAGTTATCCTGATCTGGAAAAAGAGCACAGAGTACACTGAAGGTCTTTTACCAAACAGCAATTTATAGTTTTCAGAACTTGACCAGGTAGTATTTTTTTTTTGGGGGGGGGGGGAGAAAACTCCGGGAATAATGCTTGCCTTCCAAAGAATTGGGGAAAATATGGGATAGAATTCCCACAATGAAATGCATCCATAAAAAGCCCATGTGGTCCTGAGCTTTATCTTCTTAAGCAGGGGTCTTCAAACGTGGCCCTTTTATGACTTGTGGACTGCAACTCCCAGAATTCCTCAGCCAGCGTGGCTGAGGAATTCTGGGAGTTGCAGTCCACAAGTCATAAAAGGGCCAAGCTTGAAGACCTCTATTCTAAAATCTGATTCCCAACTGCAAGCAAAATAGATTTGACTCCCGCCTGATTTCCCCCACTCTGGTTTCAGCAATAAACACCTAGCTGACAAAAGACATTAGGTCAATTACCAACCTTTCTCGTTAAAAAAGGATTAGACGATGAGGAGCCCCTTTTTTTAACATTCCTGGGGCTGTAGTTTAGTTTTACAGGATTTGTTTCCCGATTCCAGTTGATTATAGTATTACTTGATTGGATGAAAAATAGTAATCAATCCTCACTTCAAATTCGGCACAATATTAAAGTGGGGTGCAAAGTGGTGAGAATGGCTCTAAAACCCTGGATGAATAGCAACCAGAAAAAAAGCTTCAGATCAGAATATCTATTTGAAATTGTATATCCCTTGAGCTACCAACCTCTCTGGTTTTGGCCTAATTCATTCTGAGAAGCTGTTCGAATTGCTGGTAACATGAAAGGAGTTAGAATTGGAATGAATGAATAAATGAATGAATGAATGAACGCATGAATGCATGAATGCATGAATGCATGAATGCATGCATGCATGCATGCATGCATACATACATACATACATACATACATACATACATGCTAATCTCCAGCTCTCCAAAAACAAGGACAGCTTAGGTGGCTCTCAACAATATTTTAAGTCAAGATTCAGATCAGTCATTGTATCAGAAGGATGGGCTCTACTGGGACCAACGCTAAGGTTGATCTGCTGCCGTCTAAATGAGCAGTCTGACTTCTAAAAAGGATTTCTGCTACGGTCCAAAAGTTGCTAGACGATGCCTTGGAAAGCAAAACGCCTCTCCCATTTTTCAGAGAGGTGGAAGAAGAGCTTTGAAAAGTATATTGAAAAGACGACAAGTGGCCATATCAACCCACAAGGGGCTTCTGTTCCTTCTCACCATAGCTGGAGATGCCAGAACTGGACAGAAGGCAGAGAAGATGGTCTTCTCCGAGCTACAAGTACTTTAGTCTTTACATATCCAGCCTACTCTGTCCTACAGCATTTTGATGGCCCAAGTTGATGGTGGGTTTGATGGGAAACAGATATTAAGAGTATCTTACCGAAGGGCTTCCAGTCACACCACGTGGTGCTGTTGGACGCATTGTTTGGCCTGGATCCCCGTGAAGAACAGTTATAATGCAGTTCGCTCTGATCAAACAAAGGACAGAGAGCAGATCACCATCACTGACAGTGAATTTTAGGGGTGTAAAAGGACAAATCTGTTAACAAGGAATTTATAATCTGGGAAAGGAGAAGAGAAACAGGGGAGGCAACATGGCATTGTAAACTGCCGACTATTTCCTGGGAAGCAATACTTTCTCTATGCCGGTGTTTCTCAACCTTAGCAATTTTAAGATGTGTGGACTTCAACTCCCAGAATTCCCTAGCCAGCGTGCTCTTATTCAATGGAGATTGTTGACAAATAGAGTAAAAGTCTTGATCTGAATAGCCAATGAGTCTCTCGTCCTTATATGCCTAAAATGTACTCTTCCACCCTGAGTTTTACTTATACCTACCTTTACAATGCTAATGGGCTTCCGTGAGAGATGAAAAGTAGTGTAGCACAGGAACGTTAGTACCAGAATCAATCCCCGGTACCTACGAAAAATATACATGAGGATAAGAGAGACATTACAGAAGGATGTAAATCAGTGACTACTTCATAGTAAGGCTGCCTCAATTCACAGAGCGCAGGAGTGCATAACTTGTGAGTCTCGTAGGACTTGGGCTACCAAGTCTTAAGTCTTAATGGAACAAAAGTGATAATAGGTACTACGGTAAATATTTGTTTCCATCTTACCCAGTTCTTTGTCCTGATTCCACCAACTTTCTAGAGCCTGGATTTACATTCAAAATTGCAGCCCCTGGTCCCTTGAATGTTGTATACCAAGAAAGGACATGGCCAAGATTCTCCAGAGTATCTAAGGCAAGTGGTCCTCAACAGAGGCATCTGCAAGATTAAGGTTTAACTAGCTTCCTTAAGTCCTCCAATAGTAGGACAGCATGGATCCAGATTCAGTATGGCTACTTAGGGGAACAGTGATGCTCTTCAAAGCATCTCAGGCGTGGTAAATGCAAGTGAAATTCTAGAGCTAAGTTACTAAAAAGCAGAGGACAAGTGATTTTTTTGGTTCCTATTGGGAACTGGAAGCAGTTCATGATCTAATGGTTATGCCTCTTTGCTGCCTTGAATTAGGCCCTGAATTGTCCATCAGTTGTGCATTACAAGCAGGAACATGCCATTTTCAAGACATCTATACTATCAAATATTCCTGGGGAACCTTTCTGAAATTTACCAACCATTTAATCACTCATCGTTTTGACACAGGGCAACCAAAGGTCTGACTTGGCTGAAGACACTGCTCTATGAAATAATTAAGTCCACTGCTGACAACAAGAACGAGGTCACAAATCTCTGGCGCATGCTGTCAATCTGGTCTGCCAGGCTGGCACATCCAGACTATAGGTCCTTGATTCTGCCCCCCTCGTGCCCAAAAAAACACAGCCCATAAATCAATTCTTTAGAATTCAAAATCCCAGGTCCACCGTTTGCTTATGCCATGCCCTGAAATGGCTTTTCTTACAGCCATCTTTTACACAAAATAAACTTACTTCAGGTTTATTTAAAAATGTTGAAAACCAACAAGCAACATCCCAGATTTTGAACTTCCTCAAATAAAGCCACCACTACAAATATTCTTTTCCCTACTCAGCATCCTTGTTAGTTCCCTTACTTGAGATTTTGCTATCTGGGGAAACTTCCTTGCAATGACAAAGACGTGGTAGCCTTACCATGAGGGGAAAAGGGGGATTTTTTTAAAAAAAAGGTATTTTGGGGGATGGAGGGAATAATTAAATGCCCCTTCTTAGATGTTCTCCCTTTCCAAGATAAGGAATTTGGAATGCCCAACACTAACAGGTAGAACACCCCGAAAATCTTTTGCTTCTTTAGATGGGATATAGACATATGGTTTGCCTTAAAAGTCTTTATTCGGCAAGTAAAGAGGAGAGATTAAACAGTCAGCAAGATAACTCATCTGCCCCTTCCAGTTTTCTAACAGAAAGAGCAACGCAGTCTTTCCTTGTGAGGTCTTTGGTGTTCTCTGAGCTTGATAAACCAAGCTCAGAGAGCACAAAAAACCTCCACAATTCAACGCTGAGTTACATGTACAGTATTTTATTCCATTGGAATCTTTGCATTCTCCAAAGCAAGCCAAACAAGCAGATGTTCAGAGTCACATGGGGAGTGACGATGGAAATTAAACCGTGCGTGGAAAAGTTGATTTCAGTCTTCTGTGTGCAAAAAAAAGGCTGGTCCTTGGATAAATTTCAGCCTCCTCTCGGGAGATCTTGCTTATCAACATTTTTCAGCAAGATAACCAAGAGACGATCTCTGAAAGATAAGATTCAGAGAGGCTTCCCAATCATATGCAAAAAAAATTGCACTGAGCTGTTTTTTTATTATTATTATTATTATTATTATTATTATTATTATTATTATTATTATTATTATTATTATTATTATATAAGATAGTGCTAACAGGATCTTTTCAAGTGGAAGAGACAAATGGGAAAGCAAAAATCAACTTCCTGTATTTAAATGATCCTCTGCTCGGGATCATATTACTGCTTTGTTTTATTTTGTTTTGAATAATGGGTTTTAAGAATTTTTGAAGTGCCTCTTCAAAAGTGCCTCTTTGTATAGCCCCTGTGTCTAGGAAGGACTTTTGGATCGATCACGCTGATCCTGATTGCTTATAGCAGGGGTCTTCAAACTTGGCCCTTTTATGACTTGTGAACTTCAACTTCAGCTTTGCTGGCTGAGGAATTCTGGGAGTTGAAGTCCACAAGTCATAAAAGGGCCAAGTTTGAAGACCCCTGGCTTATAGCATTCAGTTCATTCAAAGTCAACATTGTTGGAGTAGTGGGTGGCTAATGACAGCATTGGATTCGCTGTACATTTAAGAGTCTCTCTTTTTTCTGTGTTGGGGCCATTAGTCCTATTTGGTCTTCTCAGGAAATTACAAGCTTGGTTCTCTTGCTTTCACTTCTGCCTTGAGGCCAAATTGAGGTATTCAAATAGATTTTGGAGAAAACACAGCTTTTTAAAGAGCCAGAGAAAATCCGACTCAGGAAAGACGTGGTTTTTGCCTAGCAGTGCAGTGTGAAACCTCTCAGCCACATATACCTGCACATAAAGCCAGTTGCAACTATGTGATCACCGTTATTGTGACTGGAGAGGAAAATTACTAAACGCGTAGGGTGCAGTTATAGGGAGGGTGATTAATCCCTTCAGGTATATTTATATTGAAAGGCCAATTAAATAAAATCCAGGTTAGTTTTTATGCTATCCCTATCCACACTTAAAGGTTACCTACAAGACTCTTATAAAACAAAGATGACATACAGATAGTCCTTGACATACAACAGTTTGTTTAGTGACCATTTGAAGTTACAACGGCACTGAAAAAAAGGGACTTATGGCTTTTCACACTTACGACCACTGCAGCATCCCCAGGGTCACGTGATCAAAACTCAGATAATAATAATAATAATAATAATAATAATAATGATGATGATGATGATGATGATGACGACGATGATAAAGATGGAAGGGACCTTGAAGGTCATCTAGTCCAATCCCCTGCTCAGGCAGGAAACACTATACCATTTCAGACAAATGGCTGTCCAGTCTCTTCTTAAAAACTTCCAGTGTTGGAGCATTCACCGCTTCTGGAGGCAGGTTGTTCCACTGGTTAATTGTTCTCACTGTCAGGAAATTTCTCCTTAGTTCTAGGTTGCTTCTCTCTTTAGTTAGTTTCCATCCGTTGCTTGGCAACTAATTCATATTTACAACGGTTGCAGCGTCCCGGGATCATGTGATCCCCTTTTGCGACCTTCTGACAAGCAAAGTCAATGGGGAAAGCCAGATTCACTTAACAACTGTGTTGCTAACAACTGCAGTGATTCCCTTAACAACTGTGACAAGAAAGGTCTTGAAATGGGGCAAAACCCACTTAACAACTGTCTCACTTAAGAACTGTCTCACTTAGCAACATAAATTTTGGGCTGAATTGTGGTCGTTAAGTCAAGGACTACCTGTACTATGTACTATAGCTTCACGCCAAGTTGTTATTAAAACCAGTTTACTAAACCACGCTAAAAGGCTAATGCAGACTCTCAAAATATCCAGCAGAAAGCCCTGAAGTAGTCCAGTGACTTGTTGGATGGGTGATGACTCAACCTGGGCCCTCCAGAAGAATTGACCTCTATTTTCATTCTCTCCAGTGATGGCCATGTTTCTTGCAGAGGATGGTCTTTCTCTTATTATTTTCCTGGAATGTTGGAGAAGAGTGGTGTGTTTAGGCCATCTTTTCAATAGTTCCAGGCTCAAAATTATTTCTGGTTGGTTTGGTTTCTCCTTTGTTATGTGCTCATACAGTATAAGCCTTGTAGGAATCTAGGTCACTATAACTGGGCTATCCTGCTGCCTCTGGCAGTGATTGTGGGAAGCACAAACATTAAAGCTCCATTCATAATTTCATAGCACGGCCAAAGCTCTAGAACTTCAAAGCTTCGGCATCTTCTCTGTGCCAAATATTTTCCTGCAGTCTTATTATGGACAAGGGGACCATTCATGGATTTGAGGTCTATTTACCTCTCTGTTTATCTCCTCTATTACCTTTTAGAATATTAAGAAATCTTGCTGGTTGTATGCCATTAACTGGAGAGAAAGGGATGCAATTGTAACAAAGAGAAACTTTTTTTTTAAGGAGGTGCCTTGATTTCAGAGGAAGCTTTTTTTTTAAAAAAAAAAAATCCAATTGTTTGGGAAACATGCCCAACAAGCTTCCCTGGTATATGGGGATGACCTTAGGTCCACAGGGGTAGGCAACCTTGGCTCTTTTATGACTCGTGGACTTCAACTCCCAGAATTCCTGAGCCAGCCATGCTGGCTCAGGAATTCTGGGAGTTGAAGTCCACGAGTCATAAAAGAGCCAAGGTTGCCTACCCCTGCCTTAGGAGATAGGAGAAAGAGTTGCAGATTGGACAACTGGCAGCATATTTCAGCCCAAAGGAGAAGGGGAACGTGAAAAGCAATTCAGAAGGGACCCTCTCTAGTTTTCTGGAGAGTAAAAGGAAAGGCGAAATACTTTCAGCCTTGCAAGATTCTGTTGTTGGAACCTTATAATAAAGATAAGAGTTAACACTCATGATTGGGCTTCTTGTCTCTACTACTTCAACACAGCCAGACAAAACAATTTGTTGCAAGGCTTCAATTAGAGGAAATAAACAATCTCGTGCAAACTCTGAATAAGGCTACGTGTCTGGAAGAACTTTAAAAATCAGCTTTATATACAGTACTGAGAGTTCAAATTTATCACAAACGGATGAGAGCCATATTTATTTAAATTCAGTTAAAACAATTTATTTAACCTTTGGGACAAGGACATCAGGACAAAGGGATGACCCTACTTATGGTGACAATTTTGATCCACGTGCCTCCATGGTTTTGTAGGCAACGGGTCTTGTTTCAGACAAGAAAAAAAATACAGCCAGCTCATTCTGTTTATCTTTAACTTTAAGGCGATCTACATAAAGTAGAGAGCAGTAA